CAACATTTCTGTTTAAAACACACATCTTTAAATTTTTATCAAACTTCACACATATCGCAGCTCTATGTGAAGTAAATGCACATGTTTCTTGACATGTAATTTCAATTGCATATTTTTCTAATATCTTTACACCATTTTTTGGTTCAATATTATTCAGATTATTTGGATTTCGTAAAAAATCTAATACAGTATATTCTTTCTTTTTTGCAAGATCTATATCACAGATTAATGCTAAATATATCGTAAAATAGAAATTATTCATTAAAGGCATTATCCTTTGTACTCCTTCTTTTTTTGGTATCTCTAAATCACCATTAAAAAATGTAGCATGACGATTACTTCCATGGTATGCTAATAATTCTACCTCTATTTGAATATCTTGTGCAATTAATTTATCAACTGGTATATCTTGAAACAATGTATAGTAAGCAAATCTTGATGTTGGATAATTAAAATATGGTGTTTTATCTTCATTTTTTAATGTATTAATATCAGCAATATTTTGAGTAATATACATAGTATATTCATCATGTTTAAACCCACATATATTCAAATCCAATTTTTCATCTGAAGCACATTCTCCAAGAATACAATTTATAGCTGGATTACGAATAGAATTATTACAACATAGAAGTGGACAATCAGGAGGACAAGACATTTTTTTAAAATATGATAAAAAAAATAAATGAATCCTTTATTTATATACTTTTTCTAACTCATAAAATTACTTATCGTTAAAGGTTTAATAACTGGTTTATAAAATGATTCAAGATAAAATTCTTTTATGAATACTGACCACCCAGTTCCACCTTCTGAAATCTGAAAATTTTCATCTAATTCATGTTTATCTTTATCTTCTACGTTAGGGTGTTGAATTCTAATTTGATGCATCCAATCCATGTAATTTACTATCATTACTATCCCAAATTTTCCAATATTAAAATAATAATCTTCTCCGTTTATATTCTTATTTAATACACAAACTTTTAGATTTTTTCTAAATTCATAACAGAGAGAGATATTATGATCATGAAATGTACAATCAAGTCCACATGGTATATATCTATATATTTCATCTAATATTTCTATTCCTTCTCTAAATTGTATATTCTCAAAATTATTTCCTATTAAAAAATCTTCTGCTTTATATTCCTTTTGTTTAGCTAATCTTTTATCACAAATATTAATCAAATATATAGAAAAAAACATATTTTGCATCATCGGAATAAAATCATTAGAATATTCTGTAGAACTTGTTAATTGTAATGTTTGTCTAAGTTGATTATGTTTATTAGACCCATGAAACGAAACTAATATTATATCAAATGCTATATCTAAAAGTATGAATTCTGGAGTTTTCTGATCAAATTGATTTAACTCATTATCATTAAATCTAAATAATGGAAAATATAAAAATCTTTCTGATAAAGGTTCATTATAAGGTATTCTTATTCCATCTTGATTTTTAAACTTTATATCAAAATTGTTATGATAACTATATGTAAATCCATCATGTTGAAATCCACATTTTTTAGATCTTTGAAGATCTTTATCATTCTTACAATTTCCTAAATTACATGTAAGTCTTTTATCTACAATGATTTGTCTACAACAAAGATATTTGCAATCTTCTGGACACTTGCTCATCTTAGATACATTTAAATTTTCCAATATTTTTTTTCTTTGAATCACCTAATTCAATCTTTTTAAATTTTACAATCTTTTCTGCTGTTTTTTTTAACTGGTATTTTCTTTTTTATTTTTTTATCTTTGTTTGGTGTTATTTTTTTTTTCTCCAACAGATTTCTTATTTTTTTGCCTTTTATTTGATATTGTTTTTTTTTCCCCAACAGATTTCTTATTTTTTTGCTTTGAACTTGGGGATCCACAACTTTGACACGATCTAGGTGCCAGTTTGATTTACTATAGTAGTATCTATAAATTTTATAATCTTTAAAATTATTGATTTGAATACGAATAAAATATTTTTTGTATTTAAAATAATAGTGATATTGTTGTATATATCATTTATATCAGATTTAAAACAATAGTTTATTACAAACAAAGATATAATAATGAATAAAATTAATGCTATCTGTAAAAGGATATGTGTAAAAATAAAAATTTTTGTTTGAAGTTCCATTTAATACCATATCATTGAACTCTAGAGATATTTATACAAATTTTAAATTTCTTCATCCTCTTCCATTCTTAATTCTTTAATTTTATTATCTATTAAATTAAATAATTGTGTTTTATGTAAAACTACTAAAAATTTATGCTTATTTACTTCTTCTCGCAAGTCTATTAAGCCTTGAAGATATTTATCTACTTTTCCATAATCATCTACAAATTCAAAATATATCTTCTTACTAACTCTTAATAATTGAAGCTTAATTTTTTCATCACCATTTAATGAATTTGAATCTATAATTCTATTATAAATTTCTCTTTCAATTTCTACTATCTCTCTATTAGAATATATTGCATCATTTATTATTTTTTCTATTTCTGCATATTCAGATGATCGTATTATCTTTGTATTTTTAAAAAATATCTCAGTTTTTATCATTAAATTATAGAGAAAAGCCAAATATTTATCATTATCTGATGAAACTATTTCAGTTTCTACTATCTCATTATAACAGCAATATTCAAAAGGGTAGTTATTATATTTACATTTGCATGTATATGAGAAAACAAAACTAAAATACGTTAAAACAAGAAATAAAATAATTTTCATTTTTATTTTTTAAAAAAAATAACAAGATACATGTATTTATATATCTAAATAATTATACATTGTAAAGTCATATCGTTATAATTTAAATAAACAAAAAAAAATATAAAAATAAAATTTAAAAAAAAACTTATTATCAATGAAAAATGTTCTATTCTTTGTCAATCACTAATTCCTTGAATTTCATCAAATTCAGATTGGATATTAGGATTATTATCATCATTTTCTGCTGGCATCTTTCCTATGATATCATCTGCTTTTTCTTTTATCTTTTTTATGATATTATCTTTAGACGCTTGATCAATTTTCATATTCTTTAGAACGTCACTGATAGCATCTTGAATATTTGTTGTAAAATTATTAAATTTTTTAATAATTTCATCATATTTAACTTGAGCATCATTTTTTTCTCCTTTTAATTTTGTTACTATTTTTGAAATTCGTGTGATTTCAGCAATTAATTGTTGACTCATTTTAAAAAAAAAAAATAAAAAAATTTTCAAATTTTATTTGAATAAAAATAAAAAATACAGATATTATATTTATTTTAATGTAATACAAAATACTAAATTAATTATATTATCCTGTAACTTGTCTAGTGGCTACTAAAGCAGCTTCTATATCTACAGTTTTATCTTCATTTTTTGCTGGAAGAGCTTCTATTATTCTTTGTGCTTCTGTATCAATTTTTTCTTCAATTTCTTTCATTAAATTTTCATCAATATTCAATTGTTTCATTGCTTCTTTAGCAGCTTCTTTGATTTTTTCTGCTAATCCTTCTGCAATTTTTTCAAGTTCTTCATTTTTCTTAAGTATATCATCTCTTTGAATTTTTAGATTAGATACTAATTCTTTAAGTCTCGCTGCTTCTTTAGCTAGCGCAACTTTTTGTTCGACAGTTACATTTACACTCATAATGTTAAAATATATTTTCTTATTGAAATAAAAAAATATTTTTTTTTATAAACTTATTTTCTATTGATTTTAACTCGTTATCAATATTAATTACATCATGTCTTACATATCATTAAACTTTTTTAGTAACTGTAATAAGATTACGCCTTATTATTTAAATATTATTCAATAATAGTAATATACTTATATCTTGCATATCATTAAACTTTGTTCAGTAACTATAATAAGATTACGCCTTAATATTATTAAACTTTTTCAGTAATGATAATAAGATTATATTGCATATCATTAAAGTACACCTATACTTTAATAAGATTATCTTTGCATATCATTAAACTTTTTCAGTATAATAAGATTACGCCTTATATCTTACATATCATTAAACTTTTTCAGTAACTATAATAAGATTACGCCTTATATCTTACATATTATTAAACTTTTTTCAGTAATAGTAATAATATTACGCCTTAATCTTATATATCATTAAACTTTTTATGATTACATCTATACTTTATATATCATTAAACTTTGTTTAGTAAATGCAATCTTATGCATTATATATCTAAACTTGTTACAACTACAATATAATTACATCTTTGCTTTATGTATTCAGTAACTATAATAAGATTATATTTTGTAATAATCTTAATTTAGTAAATTTCAATAAGCTTAGATTTTATTATAAATTATATCTTAATTTTTTAATAAAATCATAAATTATATTACGTCTTAAATATTTTTATATAAATTTAATTTTTTTTTTTTTTTAAAAATTAAATTGCTCTCTTGTAAAAAATCAAGGTACTTTTTAGTTTTAATTGATTTTTTTTTAAAAGTAAGT